CCCGCGGCGGAGAAGACGCCCGGCCACCCAGGTACGCGCCCTCGGGGGAGCCACGGGGCTGCCCTCGGCTTGGGGTGGTGGTGCCTGTGTCCCTTGTGTCCCTCCTTGCCCCGGGGGTGCGGGGGGCGCGGTGCCGCGGGCACGGAGGGGTCCGGGTTCCGCTGCGCCCACTTCTCCGCGCCGCGGAGCCCCTGCAAGTCCCCAGGGCACCCGCAGCCTTAAATTCTCCAGAGAAGCCGGACTTCGAGGTCTTCGGGTCTTCTCCACCTGACCCCGCTCACCCCAGTTCTCCCCCCTTTTTCTCCTCAGATGTCTCTCCGGCTTCCTCCAGCTCTGGGACACTCATCCGGTACACCCCCGACTCTGCCACTAGCCCCACCGCCGAGTGCCCATCTCCCCACCCCTCTTTACAGAAGGTCAAGGAAGAAGTCGAGGGTGTGGTGAGGAAGGCCAAGAGCCGCACGGCCTTCTCCCAGGAGCAGCTGCAAATCCTGCACCAGCGGTTCCAGAGCCAGAAGTACCTCAGCCCCCAGCAGATCCGGGAGCTGGCTGCTGTCCTGGGGCTCACCTACAAGCAGGTGAACATCTTGCTCTGAGCAGCCGAATCCGCATCCCTGGGGTGAAGCCATCTGGCGAGCAGGGGTTTTGGTTGTTTGTTTTTTTTTTTCTTTATTCTTAGACCCCAGAACTGAGTTTCTTTCGTGGTCTTGTTAATGTCATTGCTTATGTGAGAGAGCAGAGGGTGTGAAAACTTATGAGTCAGTCTTCCTCTTACGTTTGGTTCCAGAATTACCCACCCACTCCGTGCAGGTGTTTGAAAGCACGTACATGAAGAGCAGGGTTGTGCAGAGTCAGGTTACTGTTCTGTGTGGACACGTGTTGTCTCTGAATGTGAAAAGTCAGACACTCGCACCGCTCTGCAAGTTGGATTTCTTAGTCAGAATGGCACCTGGGTCTGTCCCTAGAGAGAAGGTCCTTGCCCCACCAGCCGCTGGGGTCTGACTGGGCTCAGGAGTACTCTCTCCTGAGCCAAGCACTGATCTTGGCACAACAGTGAGATGATGCTGCTGGACAAGCTGCGTATCTGCAGTTGTCTTGGCCTGCTTTTCAGGTAGGGCATTTGATGCCGTGAGAGATCCCACAGTGATCTGAGGAGTGAGAGTGTTTTCATGTCTCAGCTCTGTGATTTTTGTGGCTACCCGGGTCTGCTGCATATCGTTAAACTGCTGAAATTATGTACTATATTAGAAGCCAAGCAGAAACTGGATAACGCCCTGTGTCTTTTCTCCATCGCTTCTAGGTGAAAACATGGTTTCAGAATCAACGGATGAAATTTAAACGTTGCCAGAAGGAGAGCCAGTGGGTGGAAAAAGGAATGTATCTACCGCAGGTGAGAGAATTCCCCCTTGCCCCATCACCACCAGCCACTGTTACTCCAGTCTGTGGGCAGAAGTGCACCATGTCTAACCTGCTAATTCGAATCATGCACAATTATGAAGCCAGTTGTATTTCTTGTAATAAGGCCTACAGAGGCATCTATTTTAAGCCTGCCCTTGCACCGAAAGAGCTTTGTTTCCAGTCTACTTAACTCCAACTTGAGACTAGATAGAAAAAACAGCCAAAGAGGGCCAGCAAAGATACTCATGCTGTTTCCCTCCCCAGCATGGTTCTCCTAGACATGGAGATAATGGTTGAGTTGGAGATGACTAACTTAATCATCTCGACTATTATTAGTCTACAGTCAGTATGAAAAAAATGCTATTGTTTGGCTTGGGGGAGGGGGTGGGGAGAAAGGAGGGCCCATCCAAAAGAACAGGCACGGTGGCTGTGGCCCCCCACATTACCGAACAGCCTTCTCTGTCTCTCCTAGAATGGGTTTCATCAGGCTGCATACCTGGATATAACCCCCACGTTTCACCAGAGCTTCCCTGCCGGTGCCAGCAGAAACCTCCCGGCTGTGACCAACGTGCACCAGGCTTACGCCAGTGGGCAGACTTACGGGAATGGGCAGAGCCTGTACTCCATCATGGCTGTGGAGGATGAGGGGTTCTTTGGAAAAGGTGGGACAAGCTGCAATACCCAGCAAGCCATGGATTTATTAAACCAGCAGATGAACTTCTATCACGGCTACTCTGGCGATGTGGATTACATCAGCCTGGAGTCGGAAGACGCCTACAGCTTTCAGAGCCCCTCTGACAGTGCTTCACTGTTCTCAAGCTCTTCTGTACGGCATCAGTGTCAGGCCCCTTGGCATCAGCTGGGGACCCAGAGTGGTTATGAGTCTTAGGTCTAAGTATTTTTTTTTCCTCCCTTCTGTTGTCTCTCCTGAGGTTTATAGGGTCTTGACTCAGGGATGCAGTTTCTATTCCTTTCTCTTGCCCTTCCTCCCCATTTCCTGTTTTAACCATTGGTGGGGCTCAGCACCCTGCTGCCTTGGGCTAGTTTTCTGTTTAAAGGCACCTGTCAGTTCATAGCTAGCCCTTGGCAAGGGTGTTTTGTGTGTAGATAGATGAAACTTCATGGAGGGGAATGTGCAATGCCATAGCTAGAAGCAGCAGAGGTGGTAAAGGTCTATGTTTGCTGTCCAAGTCTCACCTTCCTCCGCTGCCTCTATAGGACATGATCTCTAATTCTTGCCCTGTGTATCTTGCAGCAGAGCTTTGCTGGAGAAAACCCTGTACTTCAGCATATTTCTGCTAGAGCTACCCTGTTGTAGCCCAGAATCTTTCCTGCTGTCTTGCCTATTTCTCTTGCTACCTCAGTCAGCTACCTGCTAATAGATTCTTCATCTGCATCCTCTCCTCCCTCGCCAGAAAGCTGCATGCGATCATCTGATTTTTAGATTACTTGATCCAGTTACTTTCAGAAGCTCCTCCGGGAGGGGTCAGCACCTGCCTACCCCATTTCTGCCCTCCTGTGTACATGGGGCAGTTCAGAGGAGAAGAGCAGCAGAGGAGAGAAGGTGCAGTAGAGTATTGTCCATATCTCACGTGGAAACTTTGGGTTTCAAAGCTGCTATAACCTACTTGTGCCTGTCGGCTTATTCAGGATGGTGTCTCTAGGACTGTCCCCACCCACTTCACATCTTGCCTTTCTGCCTCTATCTGCTGAGAGACTGTTGGCTTTGTCCCAACCTGCAGATTGCAGCAGAGAGTAGCCCAAAGTGCCACTGATGGAAGTGTGAGGAGTGGCTGTGTGTAGCCATCTCTGGAGTGGTGAGAACAGTCTGCTTCTCTGTACATGATGGTCCCCTAGCACTTCACAAACACAGCACCACTACAGTGCAGCTTTCTCTGGGACAGAAGCATGCAGCTATGTTTTAAAGGACTCTTGTTATTTTACAGGTGATGTTTGATGTCACTTATCCTGGAACCTGGATGTTGGGGGAGGGGGATCCTGTTGGGTCCTGGTGGAGTTGTCATCCAAGGGGCTAGAAGGGGATGGTTCCCCATGCTCTTGACTAATCCCAGTTTTAAGAGTGTAAACTAGTAGGATTTCTGTCCCTTCCCCAGGGCTTAGTTGGATCTCTTCTGTATTGTTCTGAAAAGGGCACTGGCTGCCTCATCTGACTACAGTACCCAAGCTCTGGGGGAGGTGAAAAGTTTAGAGAAACCTAGTTTGACAAAATGAGGAAAATGCGAATTGAAATTTTCAGTTCCTTCTTTTTGAAATAACTTAATCATCCTTTCCAGTATGGAGAAACTGGAAGTCAGCTCTAACCTCTGCAAAACTTTTTTTCCAATATGTGGAATTGCAGAGTCAGTGTCTGCCACTGCCCAAGAATACAAAATGGCATGAGCTGGCAAGAGGAAATGAAACGGTAAAAGCATAAATATCTCTATGGTAGAGTTGTTTTTGTGGTTAATGCACGGTTTTTACTGCAACCCTGTCTTCACATGTCTGCAGAAGGGTTGTGTTAAAGTTCCACTGCAAAGGAGGCAAATGTTTGTTGTTGTTCCAGAATAACAATGTTTCTCTTAAAGCATATTTTCTTGCAGTGATCCCAAGCATGTGTTTTACTATGTGCATGTTGTCTTTTATAACTTTGTTACTGTTTAATGTTGTTACAGACTGTTTGAATTGAAATAAATTACTTTTATTTTAATGTTGAAACAGTGTCACCAGCTTGCATCCCAACGGCCTGCTGCCAGAATGGTTATTGTGCGCAGGTTAGACCAGCTGAGGGGAAAAAAGTAACCCCACCCCTATTGTGTTTCTCCCAGAGGTAGGATCAAGCAACTGTTTAAAAGGAGTAGGTCACAAAAGTCTCAGCCTTGTTTTTGACATGCAGGTGTGTTGCTGAGCACATGGTGGGGCTCCGAGGAGGAGGCAACTGGACTGCTAGCTGCTGGCTTGCAGTAATGTGCAGCCCTGTAACGTGCTTGTATTAGCCCTGAAACTGCTGTGCTTCAGAACAACTATTCAAGTATGAGGGTAGGAGCAAAGAAAGTGTCTTTTGAGACTGTGTGGCCACCTGCTGTTGCTCCAGAAGGTCACAGTTCGAGGTCTGGGAGTCCTGCCTCACTGAGGCTGAAGCTCTCTTGGGGTCCTTGTGCTAACCTCAAATGGCAGCAGAAGTTTGTGTAGAATGAATCCTGCACTGAAACAAAAACTTAGTACTTTATCTACTTTGCCCCAAGGCTGCATTTATCTCCTCTTAGCAGCTGGGAGTGACATTTAAAAGGTACTGAGCCACACTGAGACTGAAGCAGTGCATTAGTATCCAACCTTTTTCTGTTCAATGAGCTTTGGTTTCAGAGCCTTGCTTTCCTTACATACTTCAGTTTGAAAACCTGTGCAGCCAAGGGCTGCAAGTGTCCATGGGCAGCAGCACTGACAGAATAAGGCAGTTGTCTGTATTCAACAGCTGATGCTATGGCTTTATCAGCAGAATTAAGCTTCTATTAATAGCCATAGTTTAAACTAGCAAAAATTATCTGCTTGGGTTTAATCCCAGGTTCCATAAACTACAGTACACCAACAAAGCTTTTTTCCGTTTGAAAGGGGTAGTTCAATAGGTAATCCCACGGAGCACAACTAGCTAAACTGGCAGCTGACTGCTATGGCTCAAAGTGTCATGGGTCCTTTGACCAGAACCTGCTTGTGTGGGTGCCAAAGCGCGTCTGCTTTCCTCTTGCAATACTGTACTGCTTTGCTTCCAAGGGCGAGGTGGAAGATGGGCAGGAAGGCAAAAGGGAGTGGAGGTTTGAGCCTGTAGGGGAGGAAGAAGGGCTGAGTTGTCCATGTGTGTGCTGCCTCTGAGAAGAGGTAAGTCTGACCTGGAATTTCCCCCTCTTCCAGGCCAGACTTACCTCTTCTCAGAGGCAGCACACACATGGACAACTCAGCCCTTCTTCCTCCCCTACAGGCTCAAACCTCCACTCCCTTTTGCCTTCCTGCCCATCTTCCACCTCGCCCTTGGAAGCAAAGCAGTACAGTATTGCAAGAGGAAAGCAGACGCGCTTTGGCACCCACACAAGCAGGTTCTGGTCAAAGGACCCATGACACTTTGAGCCATAGCAGTCAGCTGCCAGTTTAGCTAGTTGTGCTCCGTGGGATTACCTATTGAACTACCCCTTTCAAACGGAAAAAAGCTTTGTTGGTGTACTGTAGTTTATGGAACCTGGGATTAAACCCAAGCAGATAATTTTTGCTAGTTTAAACTATGGCTATTAATAGAAGCTTAATTCTGCTGATAAAGCCATAGCATCAGCTGTTGAATACAGACAACTGCCTTATTCTGTCAGTGCTGCTGCCCATGGACACTTGCAGCCCTTGGCTGCACAGGTTTTCAAACTGAAGTATGTAAGGAAAGCAAGGCTCTGAAACCAAAGCTCATTGAACAGAAAAAGGTTGGATACTAATGCACTGCTTCAGTCTCAGTGTGGCTCAGTACCTTTTAAATGTCACTCCCAGCTGCTAAGAGGAGATAAATGCAGCCTTGGGGCAAAGTAGATAAAGTACTAAGTTTTTGTTTCAGTGCAGGATTCATTCTACACAAACTTCTGCTGCCATTTGAGGTTAGCACAAGGACCCCAAGAGAGCTTCAGCCTCAGTGAGGCAGGACTCCCAGACCTCGAACTGTGACCTTCTGGAGCAACAGCAGGTGGCCACACAGTCTCAAAAGACACTTTCTTTGCTCCTACCCTCATACTTGAATAGTTGTTCTGAAGCACAGCAGTTTCAGGGCTAATACAAGCACGTTACAGGGCTGCACATTACTGCAAGCCAGCAGCTAGCAGTCCAGTTGCCTCCTCCTCGGAGCCCCACCATGTGCTCAGCAACACACCTGCATGTCAAAAACAAGGCTGAGACTTTTGTGACCTACTCCTTTTAAACAGTTGCTTGATCCTACCTCTGGGAGAAACACAATAGGGGTG